ACACATACACGCATACATATATACATACACACATACACAAGCATACACACACACACAGCCTTAGGGGAAGATTAAGATGCACATCCTCTTTCCGGATTGTAACATCGCTGAAAACAGCATGCGTCTTCCTCATCAGCAAGCCTAGTTTACTTGACAGAATTGGTTTCTTGGCCATTTGTAAAAGAACGGCGCGTTCTACAACCGATAGCATCTTAGATTTGATGGAACACAATGGCAGGCAATCAATAATTGCTGAATACAAGATGAGTGATTATGGGGAAACTGATGAGTGTAGGGAGGGACTGAGACATGGGGGCGTGTGTACTCACCAGGGACCCCTTGGATCCCTTCTGTCCCAGAGGACCCTGTGGAGTAGAAGCAGGAAGAAGTGGAGTCCTGGACTGGGCCTCTGGGAAAACCCTATCTCCCCAAACCCCCCATACTCACTGCGACACCAGGGTCTCCAGGGTGGCCCAAAGAGCCAATAGGGCCGGGGAGACCCTGCAGAAGGGACATCAGGGCCAGCATTAGTGAGGTCTCACTCCATTGCCCAGACATCCCCCAAATAAGGTGCTAATCCCCCTAAAGAGGGACCCAACCCCCACCCCTAGCACAGCCTCCAACCCACAGTCCCCAGACATAGGTCTCCATTTCCCCCGAGCCCTTTCTCTCAATCCTGCAAGAAGCAGGGCGGTCCCCAAGCCCCCACCCCCACAGTCTCCACATAAGCCCCTTCTCCACCCCCTCCGTGGAGGAGATCCTTTCCTCAGGACAGGACACACACTCACAGGCTCTCCCTTGGTGCCAGGGGGGCCTTGCACGCCTGGAAACCCCTGATCCCCTTTTTCACCAGCTTCCCCAGGAGGGCCAATGAGGCCGATCAATCCGATCTGGCCCTAAAGGTGTGGGGGGAAAGCGAGGAGCTGGGAGAGGCTTGGCCCAGGGCGTTGGAATCATGTTTGGGAGCAAAGAAGAGCTCCGATCCCTGGGGAAGGAAGGGAAAGGGGGAGGTGGTGGGCAGGAGGAAGAAGGGGATGAGCTAGCCCTTACCTTTTCTCCCTTGAGGCCAGCATCTCCTTTCAGTCCTGGAAGGCCAGGGGGGCCCTAGAAGGAGAGCAAGAGTCCATGAGTAATTGTCCAACGCCTCCAGGTGTGATTCGGGGATGGAATGAGCAGGGTTGTGGTCATGGGGAAGGTCAGGAAAGAGGCGGTCGGTTAGAGAACGGTGAAGTGGCCAAGATCCCTATAGCTGGTCATTGGACACCATCAAAATGGAACATCCACGTGGGTAGTCAGTGTAGGCCATCAACAGAGAGAAGAGGTGTGGTCAGTAGAAACCACCAAGACGCAGGGTCAGTGTACGATCAGTGTAGATCAAAGTGGAAAGTCAATGAGGGTGGCGAATGTAAGCTATCAAAACAGTGGTCAGAGGGGATGGTCAATGTGGGTCATCAAGACAGATGGTCAGTGTGGTGGTCAGCATAGACCCACAGGAGAGGCGACCAGAGCAGAGATAGGCAGATGGACAGTCAGATGGATAATCAATGAGAATCGGCCTGTGTCATCCACACCGAGAATCACTAAGGGTTACTGGATACCAAATGTGTGTGGTCCCAGCACTGGGCCCTCAGGGACAAGGAAGTCTCTTACCAGGGGGCCAGGAGGGCCCGTCTGTCCAGGGGAGCCCAGGAGGCCTGGTTCACCCTGAGGACAAAACAGAACCATGGGGGAAGGCCATCCTGCCAGAACCCGTGGTGAAAGACCCCACCCTTCACCCGAGGCCAGCTCCTCCCAATTATGAAAATGGAGGTGATCAGAGCACACATCTGGCGCCCAGCCTCTGCCCTCCCTTGGCCATCTTACTCACCACAGGGCCAGGGATCCCTCGAAGGCCCTCGGGCCCAGCATGCCCAGGGGGGCCTCGAGCCCCCACAGGGCCTGTCTTCCCAGGGGGGCCGTCAGGGCCTGGCTGCCCCTGAAACAGTGTCAAGGGGGGAGGGGAAGAGTCAGGAGATGCTTACCTTCTAACCACAAGCAAGAGCTATCAGGGAGAGGGGGGCTATTGGACCACCTGTGGGGGGGGTCACAGGATCCCCCTCTATGGCCCATTGCCCATCCCCCAGTTCTGCCTCCTGATGGCTTCATTGTTGGCAAAGAGTCAGGACAGGGACCCTGGACACAGGTGGGGACACTCACCTTGGTACCTTTCTGTCCTTCTCTGCCTTCCGGGCCCATTCGGCCTGAAGGACCCTGCAGAAGAGGGGAAAGAGAGTGTGAGTGTGTGTTGGGGAGAGGGGGGTCCCTATGCGGGTGGATGGAACTCCTGTAGAGGTGAGTGAGGGTCCTGTGCAGGTGGTTGGGCCTGTACAGATCCATAGAGGGCCTTGGTGTGTCAGTAGAGACCTACGTCGGTAAGTGGGAGCCCATGAGATGTGTGTAGATGAAGGGGAAAAGGTGGGAGCCCAAGCAGCCATGAAGTGGGGTATCACTCACCCTCTTCCCAGGGGGCCCTGGGGGGCCTGGTTCCCCAGAAGCACCCGATGGGCCCTACAGGGATCACAACAGCAACGAGAGTCACATTAGCAAATGTTGGAGGAGCCTGACTGTGTTTCAGGCTGCCTTTGGTTAGAAGACAGCTTTCCCCAGGCATCTCCCGAGCACCTGCCATCTCCCACCTTCCCGGGTCACTTACATTCATCAAGAGACCTCATAAAGGTCCCCCAGCTCACCACTCACTGCCCCCCAACCCCGTTCTCCCAGCACCACACCCTTGACCCCACTCACCGGACCTCCAACATCACCATGGTCTCCCTTCTCCCCCGGGGGGCCATCGATACCCTATAGGGGGATAAGTTGGGGAGTCATGAGAACATGCCAGAAGGGGGATGGCTTACTCCACCGACAGCCCAGGTCGGGAGAGGGGCCACAGAGCTAGGAAAGACATCAGGCCTGGGTTGGGCTGTGGGGGGGTCGGGGTCATCCTCACCGCAGGTCCAGGGTCTCCTGGGGGTCCTAGATCTCCTGGGAGTCCTGTGGGGCCCTGAGGCACAGAGTAAGTAATAATCACATCTCTGAGTGATTGCACATCCTTCATTCCGTTCAACAGATCAACCGGTCCCTACAATTCCTAAGTCTCTAGGACCTCAGGCCAGGGCCAGGCACCATTCTGGGGACTGGGGACACCACACCCAATCACTGCCCTGGGAGAGCAGACTTTGTCGTGGTTAATGCATACAGAGGAGACTGTGATATGCATCAGGGTTCACGGAGGGAGCAGCCACTCAGGGAAGGGGGTACAGCAGTTGGCCATGGAGTGAGCTTCAAATGAGGTGCCACAGACTGGGGCTCCTTCGTGTCTCCATTGGGAGGCTCAGCACTTGCTTATCCCTGGGACACAGGGCCTCAAATTCCCCACCATGCCACATTCCCCCCACCCACACACCTCTGTCAGCCCAGCTTCTGACCTAGCAGGACCCCAGCCTTGACCTTTCCGACACGGTGAGGCTGGTCCAAAGGGAAAACACATGGGTGTCCTCCATGCATTGATGGATGGGCCATCCATCCACTCACTCACTCAGGCCCTTCTCAGTGGCTCGTGGGGGGTCAATGGATCTTATTTTTAGTCATTTTATTGGGGGCTCTTACAGACAATATAACAACCATATAACATCAACAATATAACCATATAACATCAACTCTAGCAAGCACTCTTGGACATAGGTTGCTATCCGCATTTTCAAGACATCAACCTTCCACTTGAGCCCTGTGACCTGGCCCAATGGATTTCAGCACGAGCTTCCTGGCCACATGTTTGAGAGAAGGGGGGAGTCTGCAGGTGCGTCCACCTCCCCCTGACCTCCCCTCCTCTGCCCCCACGCCTCTCCAGAACTCACCACGCTCCCTTTGGCTCCATCCTCTCCAGGGGGGCCTTTCTTGCCTGGTGGTCCAGCGGCGCCAGTTGGGCCTGAGTCTCCCTTTTCGCCAAATTCACCCTTGGGACCCTTTGCAGAACCAGAGGTCAGAGGTCAGAGTGGCCAGGACTCTCTGGGGGTCAAAGGTCAGCATACATGGATTCAGGAATCAGGTGAGTCTGGGAATTTCCTGAGGTCATGGGTCAGGGTGGCCTAGACTTCCCAAAGGTAAGAGGTCCTAGTGACCCTGGACTTCTAAAGGCCAGGGGTCAGATGGGCCAGTGGCCCGGAGGTCCTGGCGCATCATCTCCAAGCGAGGGCTCATGGTTTGGATTTGCACAGGTCCCCACTTCCCTGCTTAGCCTTGAACCTTGAGCAGTGTACGACCCACAACACTATGTAGGAACCCTATCGGAGGCTTCCCAGCAGTCTGCCATCGAGACAGCCAGGTGATGACCATAGATCAGGGTTCCGTAGGTGACTTTCAATTGCCCAGAGGTCAAGGTGGCCCTGAGTGGCCAGGACCCAGTGATTCCACAGATGAGCACAGGGGACAGAGAGCTCAGTCTCTTACCGGGATGCCTGGGGCTCCTGGGGGTCCTTGGTCTCCAGCCTCCCCTGGCTCTCCCTGCAGGAGACAGAATGGGAGTTGGGAAGGGTCCCATCCTGGCAGACAGGGAAAGGACCCCCC